ATTCATGCCACCTCATTATTTTTAACATAATTTTTAATATAGTCAACGGTGGGGGACAAATTGAAACACCAAACCTTGGTCAAGATGGCACTTTGGGTCACTTTAACTTTCAAGGGGTAAAATGAGATTTGATTATAGTTTCAGGGGGCACTATAGTAAATAAGTCTTTCTAAAATACTTATAATCTAGAAGGGAAGCATATATGTTGGAAAAGTTCAGAAAACATCTTCCATGGCGTACACTTAATGATCATTATATGATATATAGGGCTCGTTTGCTTCTCCATATAATCACTTTAAATGATTTTAAGTGATTTTGTACAGAAGCACCTCCCAAGTGCTTCTCCATAAAATCACTTAAAACCACTTAAAACCACTTAAAGTAATTATTTGGAGAAGTGATTCTCCATAGAAATGCTTTTAGGCCTATCTAGAATCACTCCCAAGCGAGCTCATACAAAAATAGATAGGTTTTGTGCTATGGTTTATCCCTACAACATTATAAGGAAAGGGGTAAGACGAAGATCATAAATTAAGTAGGTAAAACTTTTGAATTGTTACTGGAAAATTATGAACAATTATGTAGGGGAAAAAGGGAAACTGAAAATATCAAACTACTCTTCCCATCCACTATTATTCTAATAATACCCCATTTTTCCCAGCTCGTCTAACCCTAATGCACTAATCTCTGCCACCATGGACACATCACTTGAAAGCCCTAAACCCTAGAATGAGCCAGACATGATTAGTTTCTTTTGTTTTTCGTATGTATATCTTCCTACTTGAATTGGCCTCAATGGAGTTTCATTGGAGTGGTTATTGGCCTCATTATGTCTGCCAAACACCCAACCAGATTAGAACGTGACTTCAATATGGTATGCATAAACAAGATATTTATAACATAAAAAAATTATAGCGGGTTGGAAAATAAAAATTACAGGTGAGAATAGGCACCACTCATAATATTGTAATTGAGCTCAAATTCAATTACCCCGTTTTATTGACACTTGCAAAATAGTTATTCTATAAACCAGTAGGTAGTCGAAACCCAAAAAAGCTCTCTGTGATACCCCCAAGTCCTTTTTCAACTAGGAGAATATATTGTACACATATTCGATATTATGGTTGTTTTGTACCTTGTTCTGCTAATTATTATCGTTTTTTCTCAATAAAAAAAAATATTGTACACTTGTCTCTTATAAAAATACGTACATTTGAGAAAAATTACACTTGAATGAGGGCATAATATAACAATAACAATAATATACACATTCTAGCTTAGGCAGCTAAATATGACTAAAGCATAAGCCAAGTACTAGTAAGATAAAACATTGGAAGGCAAATTTTCTCTCAGCATAAAGGAAACTTGGACCAAATTTCAATTGGTTTGGTGTCATCTTAAATTCTACTGTGTGCAGCAGACAAATACATATGCAAAAGGTCTCACTCACTCACTCTAGTTTTTTCTTTCTCCTCTAAACACTCAAAATTAATGAAGGAAATCTAGCAGGAATATTATCCTTTTGATCAGTTTTCAAATTTGTATTTCTTTTGGTGATTTTGGTATTAAAATTGAAACGAGAATTCTCGTATGTTCGAACATGGTTACAATTGCACCCTAAAAAATAAAAAAGATCTTACTATGAGTATTGTTGCATAAAGAATCAATTGAGGTTGATAAAAAAAACTAATAATAATAATCAAATGAGCGATTCAGACTCCCGCTCCAATTTGTAACGCCCGCGCACAGTGCTTTTGTTTCTTCTTATAGCAATTGTTTTGGTCAGCCTG